CATGCACACACACACACACACACACACACACACACACACACACACACACACACACACACACACACACACACACACACACACACACACACACACACACACACACACACACACACACACACACAAAACGTCACAGTGAAACACACTTTCAGACTAAATAGCGCACGCTAAAGCGTCCCACCCGAAGTAGCAAAGTGAACATGACCTCCTGCCAACGGCAACAAGCCAGCCATGCTTGGTGAACTGAATATGTCCCCTCATGCGCATGGGTGCAACGTCTTGGGGTACACCAACAGCTGTAATGTGTCATCATCGACGTACAGAGTACATCATACCCGCTGTGCGGTTCTTGGACCTTCTTGGCAAAGTGAGCGTGCGGGGCTGAATGGATATTGGCTCATGATGTTGTGGGGTTCTCACAGCATGACAAAGGCAGGCTATGGCCATGGAATAGGTAGAGCACAGCTTTGGCATGATAGAAGCAGCAACAAGGACTGACTCAAGAAACACACACACACACACACCTTTGACCTTTGACGCCCATCGCCGGAGGCGATGATAGCAATGCTACGGCAGAAGCCATAGCAACTTGTGCTGGGATTGCACCATTCAACAGCTTGCAAGGCTGAAGAATTGACCGTCACTATTCAGCCTGGTCTACACCATACAGCTATTTTTGAAGTGACTTTTTCCTGGCCAGTGAATCCCTATCACACACACACACACACACACACACACACACACACACACACACACACACACACACACACACACACACACACACACACACACACACACACACACACACACACACACACACACACACATATATATATACAGTCAGACCTCGCTTATCCGGTCCTCTTTTATCCGAATCCCTCGCCATCCGGAAGAAAATCGTTGGTTACCGATTTACAGCATATGCCATGCATACATACAGTATGTGTGTTTGATTATCCGGTTCCCTCGCCTATCCGGATATTTTTGTGGAGAACGACTGTGTGCGGTTATGCGAGGTCTGACTGTATACACACACACACACCTGTCCTGTCGTGTCCTGAACATTGCCGTAAAACAGTCACATGTCCCCTCATACGAGGGGCCAACAGACATGGGGTAGGTCGTTGAATACGGTACGCAGCACGCTCCGCAAGCTAGCGGCCAACGAGAGTTCGGGTATACTTTGCGGGCGCGCACACACACACACACACACACAAACACGCACGCACTCATTAACACCTGGTCCCTGGTCCTGGTCCTGGTATACACTGCCATGTAGGTCACGTGTTTCTCGTTGAGCGAGACGGAGACGAGAGGAGACATGAGCGTTGGTGACGGGATAAGTCGTTTCGCCTTTTGAAACGCCTCCGGCAATTCTGACATTGCAATTGGAACTTGTCCCTTTCATCAGCAGTTGGGCGCCTGGTGGATCGGTTGCAGTTGTGGATAGCAAAGCCCCGGATCGACTTACAGCAGCGTTCACAAATGGGACAGTGAGCGGTACAGCACGGTTTCCGAATACATAGGCGTACAGGTGAAGAGCTTGTGGCATTGGCAACATTCGGGGCAGAATTGGACTGGACACAGCGATGGACTGCAATGCCACCCGCACTCCGAAACCATCGGTGACACTGGGAGCACTGGCGGCTGTTGGCTTGCTGCTGGACTGGTTTACGCCGTTCCATGATGCACTTGTGGCGGGCGATATCTTGCTGCCGAGCAAATGCACGCCGGCACACCTCGCAGACTATCTCCCGAGCCGGTTTCTGAGCTGGTTGTATTGCTCGATAAGCCTGCCGCCACTCAGATCGTTCCTGCGCTGTGTCAAACCATGACTCGTCGGCGATGTTTATTCGTCGCAGGTCGACCCTAATTGCGTCTCGCCATCGTTTCCGCGGGCCACACGCTGGGCGTGGTGGCAGCAATGTGCCAAACAACAACATCCGCGGCATCCGCTCCTCAGGCATGCGTACCACGTGCCCAAGCCATTCCAGTCTTCTCTGCATGAGGCGGTCGGGGATATCCAGTGGGTTTGCTGCATTCCATGTTTTCAGAATGGTGTCCTTGGCTATCTTCAAGTCCCACACATCCCGCTGTGCAACACTCATGATGGAAAGAAGCGACCGGTAGTAGAAGGTCGTGATCCGTTGCACATCACTTTGCAGCGGTACCCACGTCTCCGCACAATAGAGCAGTAAGGACAGAACACAGGCCTCGAAAACCAGACGCTTGGTGCGCAGAGAGAGATTGTGGTCATTGAAGACACACACACACGCACACTCACATACACACTCACACGCACGCACTCACACATACACACGCACGCACACAAGATTACATACTTGTGCAAAGTACTATAAAACTAGTCTAGTACATGTATAATGAAAACCTTAGTACCTTGGCAGCTCTCCTTGCCGCACTCTCTGCGTCAATACAGTCTGTGCCACTCAGGCAAACAGTGAGATTCGTCTCATGCTGCAGAGCAAGAAGCTTGGCTTCGGACACCGTCTGCGGCACATGGACATCGCAGTTGACATTCAGCCGACCAGCTGCCCAACTCTGTTTGAGAAACACGAGCAAATACAAGGGAAACATGTCACAGTTCGCGTGAGACTCGGCTAACAGTTAGAGACTGAGCTTTCTGCATCCGTAGGAATGCCACCGCCCTCAAGGATCAATACAAGGCCACACCGGTTTTTTTCAATGTTTCGCGTCACCTTATTCGATGAAATTAATGAGGGAGGGCGAAAAAAATAAAAAAAGCCATCCAAAAAAACAGTGTACGTGCATTGCATTTGTGTACAGTGGAGCTAAAAAAAGACCCGGCACTGTTCATGTATGTTCATTCACACATGCATACATGAATACACGAGTGTAATTTCAATACAATGAATGTCGCAAAGAAAGTATATTGCACAATGCAATCTCTACTGATTGGTAACAACTGGCCAAACTCTGTCAGCATTATCAGCTGGATGGGAAGCCACGCCTCTGCCATGCTTGTGGTCCAAACACAGGCGGCGTGATGATTGCGTGACTTGCGACCCAGCTATATGTACATGTATGTGAACTGAGTACTGAGTACAATCATGCGACAAATAGAACAATCATGTTCCTTTTTTAATTTTTTAACTCCGGCTGTGAAATACACGCGTGCGGGGACGCGAAACATAGACAAAAAACGGTGTGGCCCAAGGAGAGAACAAAAACATTCATGTGTATGTTTGAGGTCGGATGGTGAGCAGGCTAGTGGCCCGGTATGACAGGTCTCCAAAGACAGGTGGTCTCTACACACAGGTGATCTCTAAAGACAGGTGGTCTCTAAACGCAGGTGGTCTCCTCTGAGACATATTGGACTACAGTCAGCCTTGCGAATAACAACCCTCGATCGAGCTTGAGAAACGTGCCACTATGTGCGAGTTGTCGTTGTTCGTGAGGTTGACAGTATGCAGTCAAATGGTCACTAGGTCTGACGATTGTGTCGTTATTTGCGAGTTGTCGCCATACCCGAGGTCGTCATTCACCAAGTTTACTGTATAGTACAGTGCATACCACACTAAAACTCGAAATGCAAGGATAATGCATTAATGGATGATATTAAAGGCTGCTAGGTGTGCAATGATCACCTTACGCAGGCCAGTGCATGATTCCCCGTCGACGCCAACACAGGTCTACACGACGGACACTCGGACACGACCATCGACATTTTGTTAAAGGCACCGCGGGCTTTGAAGGAACCCGATACTTGCTGATTCTCTGCAGAAAAACGGGGGAAAAACAAAATGGCGGTCGTAAGGATGCAGCTACCCTGGACCATGTCAAGTCTTCCAAGTAAGTTAATTTTAACCAAAATGGGAGGATACAGTCAACAAAGATAGAAGGATTCAGTGCTGCCATATGAAACCAACGCCAAAGGAGTTGAAAGGAGGCAAAAAGAAAGAAAGTGGAAAGCCAACACTATGATAGCATGCTTTAGCCAGGCGGATCCTACAGGAAATTACGGCGTGCGGAACCTGTTGCCCAGTCTGTTGTGGCAGTACCATAGCTGTGCAATGGCACGTGAACAGATGGTCTGTAACACTATTCAAAGACAAATTCAAGTCACTGTAAGCGATGTGGGCTTCACTGAAAAGGGCCATCTAGCTGGTCAAATAAACGTTGCATCTATTGTCAGTAGTATCCTACAGTCAAGAACTGCTTGGACTTGAGGTTACCACTATAAAGATATTTGAAAGATTTTAAATTATTATAATAGTGATGGAAAAAGGGGCTTTGGATGTCCATACCAGCCAATGTATAAGACAGGCGTGAAGCCCGCATGGGGCACGTGCACCCCCCCCCCCCCCCCTAAAATTTTCGACCTAGGTTCAGCATGCACATAATGACCATGAACCAGCCATCCTACCCATATGCGGCCGTGCCCCCCCCCCCCCCCCCCTCTAAAAGGGGGACCATCTATTAGAGTACGCCACTGCAAGACCAGAGCATGCAGTTGAGTTTGTTACTGTACTTTGCACCAGCGTGCATTGTGCAATAGGCGATTCACACGACATGTAAGCGCACATGTATTGTGCTGTATCTTGTGCTGTATCCGTAGAGATATACTTGTGAGGGGAAAGCGCAAGCAAAATCTTCTTGATCTTGGACGAGAACCGTGTGCCCACGGTGTTTTCGTGCTAAGGGTGAACAAGCAAAACCAATGAAAGTATGCTCGACCGAGGTCATTTCGGATACACTGATGCACGCAATATTTGAAAAGGCTCGTTTGAATCCGCTGGGTCGCGTGTCCATTTCTGCACAAACGTTTTTTATCGTTCATATACACGTCGTGTGAATCACCTAACGTTAAAAGCGAACAGTGTCATGCCCGCATGGGCATGATGCAATGGCGGCAGTTACTTGAGATAGCCGACACTCAAACCTTGAAATAAAAGTCTTCCGCATTCGACACCTACCACAGTAGTACATGTATTCGATCGACTCGCCACTTTATACGGACATGCAATGATGCTCAGAGGCTGTTCAGTTGCTTTACAGGAATGCTTGAATGAGCAATAATGTGTTGTTACATTTTTTAGCGTCGGTATGAAACAGTTTTAAAACACTGTGGTCTACATTTTCGGATTTGGAAGAGTTCAAAGCTTTTCTCAACTATTCTCGAACATTTCTTCTCAAAAATGTTCATGCACCTCTAGCTCTGTCCGTCTCATCTGATCCATCTTACTATTATCTGCTCACGAAGAACGAATGCCAAAAGAACTAACCAAGTTTCAAATTGACAACGGTGCCTTCACCGGCCAATTCAGCCAACCATGTCGACGACTCCAATACCGTGTGGCGAGTATTGCCTAGAAGACGAGAAGCAGCCTCCTCGATTGGCTGTCTGAGTGAGTTGGCCATAGTGAGTATAAAACCAGGAGTGGTATTTTACGACCCCTGAATACAACAAAATGTTTGTTTTAGGGGAATTGGTGAGAGTGATGACGCCAACACAAGCCTACGCACGTTTCCATGGTCGCGATTGCACATTGTCGTTGCGCAATGCCACAACGGAGCTACGATGTACTAGTCATGCTGTCTGTACAGACGCGGAAACAAAAAAAGCTTGACTTCGCTGAGAATGGTCGTGCATGAGTTTTTGAAAATGAATGTTGGAAGATCGAGTTGTTGATTTGGTAGCAGCTACAAAAATTCAGAAGAATATCATCGTGCCAGTGCAGTGTAGTTGTGGCAATGGAATAGTGCTGTGGAGGTAGGATTTGAACAATGGGCGCCGTCTTCGCTAAGAAAAAGGCCGATGACCTCGTGAATCCTGATCAGCAGCTCCAGGAAAGAAAGGATTATGCAGATAACCTTCGTGCCCAACTCAGTATCAAGTGCCACAGGGAGAAAAACCTAGAAGGTACGCATCATGCACTCGGACTAAATGCCGCCCACAACTCACTGCAGCACCTGGTTTACATGTACAGGTGGATGTTAGCTGCAGCGTCTTTTAGAATCGTGCTGGTGCTGGTGGAGGTGCTGGTGGTTGAGTGTTCATAAATTGGCTACAGTGGCGCCTCCATACACTGAAGAAGATGTCGGGCTTTTATAGAGGCTATGCGATTATATTATCAGTTGAGATGCTTTGGCGAAGTTGCGGCACAGCACTGCACTTGCAGTGGCGCTAGCGACTCGCGCTGCACACACATTAGCCATAAGGGAATCCGCTGAGAACTCGTTTGCATAACCTCGGAAATGAACTTGTTTCAATTTCCTTACTTGAAGCCGGTACACGTCATGCAGGGGTTGGGAGGTACTGCACACCGGACACCAATTGCATGAACCCGTGAAGTTTCCATTTCTTCTTGCACCATACAGTAAAAAAACTCCCTTATTCCAGGCACGTCTATCTACCGGGCATCTTTCTGACCCCTCTAGAGTCATAAACATGGCTTTTCAACGAAAACGGCCCCAAAATAGTCATATTATTGATTGGCATAAATTTTTTTACTTGCATGCAGTAAGTATGTAAGGTCTGAGTTACGGGCAGTGCTTGGTCCCAACCTGCCCGGATCTGGGGAGTTTCACTCTACATGAAGAGGAGTGCAACACTTGTGGTGTTCATGTTGTGATTGAGAAAATAGCATGGCGAAGCAAATGGCTGCTGTCTGGCAGTCGTTTGCGTCTCGTTGGAAATTATTTGGTGCAATCACAAGATTCATATCACCAAGAGTGCATTATGTACTTTTGATAACAGTACATGTAGGGTTGGCTATCTCGAGTTGGCCAACGTAGCCCAGCTTAACTGCACCAGCAGTCAACAGGCGGGATGCAGCCGATGCAGGGGCAGCACCAGTAGCATTGCCAAAGCAAGCCCTGTGTTTTCCAGAGTATAAGCCGCACTTTGAACACTCAAAATTCACCCGAAAAAAGGGGGTGGGGTGCGGCTTATACTCCAGTGCGGGTTATACTCTGGAAAATACGGTATGCCGTGTATGTGTACACTGTACAGTAAAGTGATATCATGGTGGCCGAACCAACCTCATACAATACGCTAGAGCCACATTCTACTTCACAGCCCAGTGGCGGCATTTATAGTGCTAGGGTTGTGCAGACCCTGAGCAGTTCATTGGTGTATCCGTGAGTTTAGAATGTACTTGCCACCGCTTTAGACCGGCATGCACTGCTACTACATTGTAGTACAGTCAGACCTCGCTTATCCGTTCATCTTTTATCTGCATCCCTCGCCATCCGGAAGAAAGTCACTGGTTGCCGATGTGCAGCATACTAGTATGTCATGCACACATACAGTATATGTGTGTTCGATTATCCGATTCCCTCGCTTGTCCCGATATTTTTGTTGAAAACGGATGTGTGCGGTTAAGCGAGGTCTGACTGTAGAACACCGGTGTAAAGACAGTTTGTGTAGTAGGTTCTTTAGCTGCCAAACAGTTTCAGTGAGCGAGGTATCAAGTCTTGAGCAGGACTAGTTATGGTCAGTCAAGTGACTATGCCGGTACGTCTTTCAACATCTGCATATTGACACTATGGCACCATCATCTTGTTTGTGATCGGTATTTCCTGGAGGGGGACCCGGGTATCTGATATTCTTTTGTTCATTGTCGAGTGTTTGTTTTTGTATTGTTCATGTGCTTGTTTGTTTGCACTGCAGCATGCCATGCCCTCGGGGAGTTCTTTCTTGCTTTTGACAAGAACAAATTCATGGCTAAGGATGTGCTGCATAAGAACTGCCACGATGCCAAGCATGGTGAAAGCTGTTTACTCCTGGGCCAGGTTCACCTGTCTTATGAAGGTAAGTTAGTTTGATGCATAATAATAATATGCTATTAGAGAATGGAGAGTAGAGGGAAACGCCGGGAGCAGAATTCCTTGACGTAGCACCATAATCGTACTCGCCCTCAGCAAATTCTCAGAACAGTGCATGAAGAACGCAGCACTTTGCAAGAAGTGAGAGTTTTAAAAACTAGCTGTTGCTAATGCTGACATGCATCCCAGTGGAAAATATTCAACCATGCAAACGTGAAATGCAAAATAGCGAGTTTTGAAAGAAGGAAACACAACACAGACCAGTAGCCTAAGTGCAGAGTACAGTACTAGCAACTCATCCAATCTTTATCAGTTATCACCAGAACTTTAATTCTTACTTATGGGTATGCATATGTTTGCCCGTGCTTTGCTAGAATGGAAAGCACCTGCATTTCCTGTCTCTCTTTTCTTCTTGTGTGACCTCAGGTGAGGACGACCGTGACGTCAAAGCAGCCATGCAACATTTCACCGAGGCATGCCGGTTGAACGTGGGTGGTGGCTGCACCATGGCGGGTATTGTACATGGCATGGGCATTGACGGTGTCTATCCCGTCAATCTGCAGGCGGCAGCCGATGCGTTTGGTCGGGGATGCGACCTGGACGACAAGGTGGGCTGCTTTCAAGGTGGCATGATTGCACGCTACGCACCCACACCGGATATTGTCGCCGACCACCCGCGTGCAGCCAGTATGTTCTCAAAGGCCTGTGACAAGGGCAGCCTAATGTCCTGCAGAGAAGTAGCCACCATGTATGAAAAAGGAATTGGCGTGCCGGTGGACGCTGCCAAAGCACATGAGTATCATGAGAAGTCCCTGCCCATGTTTAGACCAGACGAATATGTAGCAAAGTAGGTTAGGCTTGTATTCTAATTTTTTATTTTTTCAAAATCTGGAGAAAGTGTTGGCTTGTGCTTCAAGTAGCTGTTGCCAGCTGGAGCTGACATCATCTCATCATGCCCTGACTGCGGTCAGCCAGGGCCAAATATTCCGACATCAGTACTGCCACTTCAGAGTGTCTCCAAGAGTAGGTTCCCCACGTCGTCAGATATGCGGACGTGGCAAGCGCGAGGCATGTATTGCTTCTTGAGAAATTCTCTTTTTTTCTTTCTTTCTTTTTAGTCTGTTGACCGGCAAATTTCTACTCCATGCTGCCGTTGCTGCTACTTCTGCTTGCTTGCTTAATTAAGCTGTTCATTCCCTGCAGATACTTGACACTGTAGCTACTGCCAGTGCATACTTTAGGCCTGACTTTTCCTTGGAACTTGTTCTGCAATTCCAAATTACTCGGTGACCACACTATTTTATGTGTTGCGTTTCACTCCGAGTTCTCCACATGCGATACCCATAGGCTTTATTTCTTCAACTTATTGGAGCTGTCTGCTCATCGATCTACGACCGACATATTTTGAATTTTAAAAAAGGGTTTCGCACGGAATGAGTTCTGTGTTGCTTGCTGTTCTTGGAGATACGCCTGGCCGACTGTGCAGCAGAGACTACTGCTGCTCCGTGCGCCTGTCCACTTTCAACGTCACAACCAGGGTGTAGTAAAGTACCAGTATTTTACTACTCCCTGGTCACAACTAGGGACCCGGCACCAGGGAGTCGTCAAATACCATTTGACGACTCCCTGCCCGGCACTAAATCAAGCATTTAGGGTGCAAAAATCACATCAGCATTATCGGTGGTTTCGCGGGATGGGTGATTTTTCGAGCATATCTGGTGCCTATTTATGACCATTCCTTGCCGAGGAAAAGTACCGGTAATCCTGTGGTAGTTTGCTCATAGCGTGGTGTGGCAGCTGAATGTGGGCTTTAAATAGGCTATGGTCGGATGTCGCAGAACACGTACATAGTGTTTTAGGAGCACCAGACATCTAAATTTCTTAAAGATTTTTGACGTAAACTCACGGACATGTGTTGGGATACGAAGAAAAAACTGAATTTCAAGCTTAAATTTATGAGCATTTCGGGGAATTATCGGCATGGTTTCAGGCATAATCGGCTGTATTGTAAGAATTGCGAGAAAGCATGATGGGTGATTTTTCGAGCATACCGTAAAGTCTTGTATAAAAGTCGCGGCTTCTATGACTTTCTTGGTGAAATTTTGCAGCTTTATGAGACAGGCTTCTATAACTTAGTATAAGACAGGTATTCCTATGTATGTCAACACTAAAGCCAGGCTTATGTGTGATTTGATGGGCCCACAATTGCGGCTTTTATACAAGACTTGACGGTATTTGCCCGGTGCCTAGTAACAACTCCATTTTTATGGTACAGCCAGCGCGCTAGCGACCAGGGAGATGATTTTGTGGAATTGCAGCACAGTATGTCGACCAAGGAGTAGCGGTAGTACCGGTACTTTACTACTCCCTGCTACCGACACTACAAGTACAAAAGCTAACGGAGGTATAAATTCTACAAGTGTTAACTCTTAATGCTAAGCATCAAGAGTCCATACGAGGTGAATAGCAATTTCTGGACATGAAAATAAAATAGAGGCCCACTGGCTGTGTGTTTTACATTTTTCATATCTTTTTGTATCTATTGTATGGCCTAATCCTTCATCTTTCCAAATATGTGACAATTGCTCATGCTGTGATCCCAGAGACTTTATAGCAGGATGTTTTCGACAGGCCAATTTGTTGGCCTAAATTTCAGTGTATCGAATTCTGGACATGAAAGTAAAATAGCGTCAATAGGCATCCTATACTGCACCATTTTTGTTATATTTTCTATTGGTGGACTGCAGTTGGCCTCTTCACACTTCCAGCTAACAGGTCCAAGACTATACAGCGTCTGAAGTGAAGTGCACATGGGGAAGCCAACAATTCGTCCATTACTTCTTATTTTACTCAAAATTCTCATGCGACATAGTACCACAAACCTCGTTGAAATGCCTCCCAAGAAAAGGCTATCAACAAGGCACCGACACGAGGAGAAACTACAACAGCCCAGCTGTCAACTACAACAAGACAAAAACTTCATCAACCTGACTGACTTGACTCTACACGCGACGAAAAATTATTTTACTCGAAATGTCCAGAAATGTACAATGTCCAGAAATAGCAATTCACCTCGTAATGCACTCTTGTACGCATGTACTAGTATTCATTTTCGGGTTGATTGTACATTGCCCCTCACCCTCTGCACTCCGAGTGTCATATCACAAGTAGGAGGTTCCGAGAGTACGTTAAAGTCCATACAGATCTCTCGGGCAGCTTCATATACCGGAATCTCAGAAAACCCACACCCCGTCCCCCCTCTCACATCACACGTAAACTCCCAGAACACAACATCACACGGAAGCTTGAAGACAGAATGACCCTGGCAAGTGTATGTATGATTATTAATTCATGAGTAACCTCGAAAATACTGTCATCAAAAGCGTTCCACTAATTTACAGTCACACCCGGTGGGGAGAATCCAGCTGCTCACAATCCAACAATCACGGGAAGGCAGCGCAGTACGCAAATAGGTGCTCGCAAGAGCATAGAGCTTGCTATGCCAATCGATGGCATGCAAAAAGCAGCAAGCTGGTATGTTGGAAAGCTAAAAAAAGAAATAGCCCGAAGGGAGGGGGAGCAATTGCACATGAGCTGGTCTACTTCCTGGTGAACGTCTTGCCACTGTACAGAGAAAGAACAAAAACACACACACACACAATACACATTATGTAAGTAAGACACAGAGATGCAGTGCAATTTCGTCCAGTTACAACTTGCAACAGCATTCATATACCGTCAACTTTGCGAATAACGACAATCGGTCATGAAGGAAAAGTGTCAGTATTCGTGAGGTTGGAAGTATGCAGTCAAATGGCCACTACAAAGCCTGGAGAATGGGTCGTGATTCGAGAGTTGTTATACAGGAGGTCGCTATTCATGACATTGACTAGTCATTTATCATCATCTGGATGCGCTAGGGAACCGTAGGTTGGCAACGCACGCATAGTGCTCGTTGACACTACTATTACTAAACAAATAATTATGTTTGATAGCCTGGGTAGGTGCCACATGGTCAGTTGCCTCCAGAACAAAGCACTACTGTAACATTCTGCCAAAAAAGTAGGCAGCAACAGTTCACAGTGCACTCTACAATAATAAGCCTCATGGTATTCCGTTCTGTTGCACACAAACTACGGTATAAAAATAAAACTGTCATGAGCGTAAGATTTTACACAGTCATGAATCATTATAGTATTTACGTGATAGTCTTCTTCTCCACAGCCTTCTTCTCCGGGCGAGCACGGTTCAGGACCTTCAAGAAGGCGGAGGTACGGGCGCGCATACGACAGTGCAGGTAGGCCTTGGAGCACTTGATGTGGTAGTGCAGGTAGTTACGGAAAGTGTGAATGAGGTCGATTGTCTTCTCTCGCTGAGCTCCGACCACAGTGGCACGAGGGAAGAGCACTACATCACAGTGAGGCAGAATACATGCAATCACATTCGGACAGGGAGCAGGACTATGCATACCAAACTTTCACTTGTCTGCCAAACCAAATTCTTTCTAGCACACACAAGATAGAGATAGAGAGAGAAAGAAATGAAACCTGTCACGATATGCCGCGAGAACTCACCAAATGAGATGTATCCAACGTTGTCACCGACCCGTGCGTCAGTGCCTTGCAGCTCCATTGGCGGCTCGCGGTGGCTGAACAGAACTTGAGGTGCTGTGGTGCTGCCACGGCGTCCCTCCTTGAACTCCTACAAACACACAAAGCACAGCTACAAGTCAACAATGCAGGAAACAAGCAAAAGACCTGGCCAATACCAGCCCAAACATGTTCAGTACGGTTTTTGTTTACTGGCAAACACACAGACAAAAGTTACAAATGTGTCTGACATGAAAGGACGGTAATGCAGAAATGTATAATGACATCATTGGTTCAATACTGAAAAGTAGACTAAATGCACCTCACAGAAGAATGCAAAGGACAGAAAGGCAATGCTTACCTGCATGAAGACCTTTCCGATGATCACATCATCGTCATCCTTGAAAAGTGTGCTAAAAATTACTGTAACGCGGTCCTTGTCTGCTGACACATACCTATTTCAAACAAGCACAATGCCACAAGCAGACAGTCTAATTATTGTTAGTTAGCCGTGGATGGTTACCACCCTTCATCTCATTTGCACTAATGTGACTATTGACAGCCTTACGGCGAGCCAGGAGATGTTGTATAAATAAAGTAAACACTGTAGTGCAGACGGCACATGCAGCACAAACTCTATAAAACTTGTAAGTCTATGCTCCTGCCAAGACAAAACTGCACATGCATAATTATGATACAGCATCCCTGCCACTCAACAACAAGCCTCACTACTGAGTGAGCAGCCGGAGCAGACGACACATGACTGAAAAGGCAGCTCCTGTGACCACGAAGAAGATTGCAGTGAACATGAACGCATTGAAAATTTATTGGTACCGAGCACACACACAGTAGATCTGGAGTAAGTGAGTAGAAACACACTTGATAGGCCACAAGCCTTGCAGCCATTCCTTTCTTCGTTGAAGCAGTGTGAGCAACACACTTGCAATAGTGCTACGGCACTAGCACATGACAAAAGGCCAATTCATACTTTGATCTACAGGTTTCAGTAGAAACTACTTTTTCGGTAGATGTGTTCGTATCTGTCTACTACTACCCCAAATGGTAGATTCTACTATCCTCCACTGGCTCTACATCGTACACAAAATAAACGTTCTCCCAAAATGGCTTCAATCTACGTTCGATGACTACCATCTACCGTCTTTTCTTTTTCCAACATCCGCTCTACCCAACCAAATAGACAAAAATGAACGCAGCCTAACGCACTTGATCAGTAAAACAAAACAACAACAAAACACTTACATGGTCTCGTCATCACGGTAGTGGATTATTGCCTTCTCGCTGCAACCGCCACCAGCTTGCTTGTCGAACATGTAGTCAAATACTGCTGCAAAGCAATGCCGCTTCAGTAGAGCAACCTTCCGTGCAAGGCCAGCTTCAAGCACAGACATAAAGAAAAGAGGAACAGGCTTCGAGAGAGACTTCAAAATATACGACATGACAGCTTGGAACAATCAAGAACGAAGAGAGGTGTTCAGCCGTGCTTCGAGCTGTTTGAAATTCGACAACAAAGAAGCAAAATCATGCACGCGCTGTGATAGAGACATACCCTTGTCGGCAGGAAGAGATTCCATGTTGACGAGCAGGGAGAAGTCATAACCTGCACAAGAGAAGTTGAAATTCAGAGGTGTTACTGTGCAGGGTAGATATGCGTGAAGCTTACTACATACGGCTCTAGTGCACACCCACATGAATGCAGTCCACTTCAAAAACATAATTAATAGGTTGAAGGATATTCGATTTTCAATTTTCCTCATATCGTCGTGCCGTCTTTCTTCAAAGGCCTGTTGCCGTAGTGTCTTGTATAAAATTGTCTTGTATTAGCCTGATTTTCAATATTCAAACTGGCATTATAAGCCTGATTTTCAATATTCAAACTGGCATTATAAGCCTGGTTTTAGTGTTGACATACATAGAAATACCTGGTTTAAACTTTAAATACAAGCCCGGTCCTGACATTGGTTTCTACAGGAATACGCCTATACACGACAGTATTGCATGCTTATCTTCAAATCACATGTACAGATTTTAGGTCAGCACCTCCTGAGAATTTGCCCCGGGAAGGTAGTAGTGATTTCGGACAAAAATACACGAGGTTGCCGTTGGGGTCAGCAGTGCAATAGGGTAGTTCAGTACCACCAGCATGGCCCAGTTCAAGTTGGTGTTTATCATTTCCGGACCGTCGTTTGAGGATGAGCACAAAGATCGTCAATCCAGACACTGGAAGAAGTGCAATGCGCTCAGCCGTAGCTGGGAGCTCAGCGAGACACAGGTAGTGCATACACAAGCCACCAGATCCTAAAGGTGGATTACGTCATTTGAATAGCGACGTTGTTACCCACCAGGTGGCAGCCCGTACCATTTAAATTGCCAAAAGGCAGGTAAATAATGTAGTGAATGCGGCTGAATAATACAACAGCACTAACCAGACTCTGTTGATGTGACAAGATCTCCATACTGCTTCTGCAAATACTGTACACAAAATGCGGACATGGACAGAATAAAGCGCTTAGTCCCAGCTATCAATTTGAAATGCACCCCGTAATCAGGACAACTGTCTGGTCCACCGGGTGCCTGCCCGCCCGCCCTTGAAAGGTTCCACCATACTTGCTTTCCTTTCCCCGTGCACACTGGCATATTCATGCAGCACACATGGTGCTCGGGGCCTGGATAGCCATATCTTTGACAATACCGCCCAGACCCTTCTTTCCCTTGCTGGGAACATGGGGATAGAGCCGCTTGACCGGATTTATTAAGGCGACCTTTCATCCATCAAATATGTCAACGAAAATGGGGGTCGACTTATAACCAGGATCCGACATACACCCGGTAATATGACAGAAAATCCTAAGTCTTCCCGCAGCAGCACACATGAGGCTACACGAGTATAGTGCACTAGTATGATAGCATGGCGTCCCCCACCCCTAGAATACAGTTCGTCCAAACCGGGGCTTGACCCCAAAACGGTTCAGATGGTCGCAAGACAGGAACTCTGCCAACCGGCTTATGGTTGTTGTCAGGAGCGCTGTTCTCAACACAGTATGTTCTCCGTCTTGTAACGTGCTGTCATCATCAAACATGGTATGATACCAGTACACATAGACATGTTACAGCACGACCATGGCGTGCTGGGACGTGTTTGGCATGAGTGTGAGTGACTGTGTGTGTGTGTGTGCGCGTGATTGTCAAGTACCAAGGCGTTGCTGGATGAATATTACTCATGCGTACCAGGCCAGGAAACTGTAAAATAATCTATCAAGGCTCAGAGAGGGGTCGATTTATATAAATTGCAGCAGATTATTTTTATTATAAATACTGGACATGGATATTGAATTAAACTATACTCAGTGACTTTTTACATTTTACAGGCTACGTTTTATTATTATTATTGTAAAGCTTTCCTTTTGATCTTGTCTCTTATTGTTGTGACCTTTCCACAATAATTGTGTTGCATTGTCCAAACAAAACAAAAAAATTATAGACGGTGAAATACCGTACCTCGAAACATAGCAAGATCTTGTAGAAGAAACTTCACAGCCACGACTTCTACACTGTGACGGAATGAAGGGCCTCTCCATTTGAAGTGGACAGCCAATGCGAAGAATCATAGCTACATGCTTCAATCCAAGCAACAACTGACGCAACATACAAAGACTGGGTGCACTGAAGCTGTAGGGAGTGTGGGTGATAGATGTAGATGCTTACCTCATTGACACCATACTTTGCAAGCTCAGGGTAAAACTTGACTGATGCGCTCACCTGTCCGACAAGAAGGCAACAGACAAATCACAAACGAATGAGATCTAGATAACAGCTTCACATTGTAGCCAGGATGTAAGAAGCTGCCTGCAGATAACAAGACTACAATCATGTAACCTGGAGTGCGCAGCTCGAATGGAGTGCTGTGACAGCGAACTTCCCGGACTACATCATGTCTGCGATGTAGTGCGTACAAGCAGGATTCAATAGTCACAAGCTTCACACACTGGGCTTCCTGTATTCTTGATATCAATGAAAGAAATACCGCGGCGTGATACCGTACCATGCACAAAGACATACAAACACCTCGCATTTTTCGATAAATAAACCTCGTGTCTAAAAACAAGTTGCCGAAGAATAGCCAGACTAGGGACTCTCCCAAATGACAATGTTGCAATGCAAATCCAAATGGAAAGGAATAAGGGGCCTTCCGTAAATACCGATATTTATTTAGAAACGAAAACTAGTCGTTTCCCTTCAACCCCCCCTCCCACCTCCCTGAGAAACGAACACATACAAATGGTACATAGTATCGATATTTTTGGTCTTTTTTCTGGACATGCTCACGCATGCAAAATGTACATCGATATTTTTCGAGAAACGAACAGGCACTCAACCCCCTCCCCCCTAAACGACTAGTTTTCGTTTCTAAATAAATATCTATATTTACGGATGGCCCCTAAGAACATACCAGGCTAGAGTAGCATACTCTGCTTTCTTCGTGCTCAAGCCTGACGATCGTTACACACAAAGTCCCCTGAAAACATGATTGGGACCTATCTTATGAAGTTCGATGAGCTAAATCAAATAGTGTTGGTCCGAGGTCGCGGCGTACAGCTTATTAGATCAGGTTGTCAATTTGAACGGATTGCATACACGGCATAGCATGCATGCCATATACCGTATTTGATAATTTCCCCGATTATAAGTCGCACCTTAAAATTCAGGGCAAAAAAGGGGATGCGACTTACAATCGAGCGTGACTTACTACTGAAGTGAATATATCGCAATAATATTGTTCAAACCTGAAAATGGCGGTGCGACTTATAATCGGGGAAATAAGGTACAGTCGTCCCTCTCTAATCCAGCACTTTATAATCCAGCACCCTCGATAAACCAGCACAATTTTCAGTAGCCAAAATGTCCTCTTCATGCACATTGCAGCAGTAAATCAGATTTGTTAATCCAGCAGGTTTCCGTGGCACAAATGGTGCCGGATTATAGAGGGACCACTGTACACCGCAGTGATGCACACTTGCAATAGGTGTAGCAATCTAGATGGCGAAAGAAATAGTTTCGGTCTGGATAACTTCCCCCAAGTATACAAGGCAACCAGCTACATCTCAACCCTCGTGAAAGGTTACTACATTGTCTGCATCCCAAATGAGAGTTTATATTACGTACTGTGCGTGGCATGTGCAGGTATGTGACCTTCCTTCCCCTTCCACCATTGTGGGTTCGAATTTGAAATTTAATTGTCTACAACATTAGTGCATGGACTGACTCAACTGGAGTTGTTTGACATAGGGCTCTCACCCTCGTCATGGGTAATCTGGTAATCTGCGGATTGGGAAGAGCCTTAAATCTTTCACCCACATGAGGGTCTAAGACTTAGGTGCTCAGCCTGAATTATTGGTGTTACAACACTCATGGAACACGAAGCAGAACTAATGGATCGGCTGATGCTGACCAGAAAATACACCTACTTACAATGATTTTGTTCTTATCGCCATCAGCGTTAGTTATATGGAAGAGAACACCATCAAAATCTGGAGGGAACAAGACCAGATAGAAACAAAATCAAAATTCATAACCGCTGGCAGTAGTTTCAAACACAGCACAAGAAACTAGAGTACAAGAGGAGAACTCAAGAAAAATAAAATGAAATAAAAATGACCAGCAGCCTTTCGACAACAACTCACCAGCGATTGTCAAGTCGACTGCTTCCTTCTTATCACTGAAATACGAAAATGGCAGACAAATCGAGGAGAGATATCTAGTGAAATCTGTAGAGGTTGTTGTATGCAACAAAGGTAGAAGCTTCGAACCTGTTGAATCGAGAAAGAAGAGCCTCTTCCAAGATTCTGTTATGAAATTCTAAGAGAATCATGGCTTTCCGCGGAGAGGCAAACCGTCTGCCACCAGCACGACAATGATGATAAAGGCGGAAGGCTTTGCTGCTTCACCCACAAGGATTTCGGGCTGACCTTGTGAAAAGAAAGCTTGCAAGACACAGTTGCCAGCAGCTGACGGGACAACCTTCCTCTGGATCCAGTTCCACACAGAGCGCGTATGCAGCTCAGCTCAACCTTCAACACATGATCCGCCCGATCTCTTCTCACTGCATGCAGGGAGCCGGATCGCGGAGACGGAGTGCAGTGTGCTGTAGTCTGACACTAGTTGCAAGTGACTTCCAAGCGTGTTCTGCCAGCAGCACGGCAGCATGCAGCATGCTCGGCTAGCTAGACGCTAGTTGTTCTCGCACTCGCAGGCTCGCGGGCCGCGGCCCAGCGGGCCGCGGGACGCACTGGACTCCAAGGCAAAGAGCGCTAGGATTGGAACTTGACGCTACGCCGCGCCGCCTGCGCGGTGACTCGATCTGTAGCGCCTAGCCATGTGTTACATTGTGTAGCGACCCAACCGTGCTTTCTTTTGTTTTATTAATTTTTACTGTCTTTAGATTTTTTAATTTTTACTGTCTTTAGTAGTTTAGACTTTAGTTTTTCAGTGGAATTGTCATGGCGACGATGACGTCCGATCAGATCGACCATCGATCTCCACCCACTACGTGACGTAGCTATTCCAAACTCTTCGAAACTAACTAATTACTTAGTAACTTGAGTCCACGTCTCCCATCTTCAGAAAACTTTTTGGCGAAGCTCCTCGAAAAGACTTTTTAAAAGTCACTTAGTGAGTGACGGCGCGGCTGCGCTGACGAACGCGCCCGCGCCCCTAAATCATCATCCTCATCTCTTTTTGTAGCTACGCACGTAACGTCGTTACGACGTATCTACAACTGTACGGGCCCACAGCCTTTTGCAGTGCAGTGACCATGGTGACACAGTTGATCTACGGCTACAATTATTTGTACAAGGCTAGGCGCTGTGTATATCATGTAGGCGCTTTGTAGGCTACGCTCGCGCTCCTCCGGCTCAGCAATCATGAGTCAGCATGCTGCACGCGCATGCAGGATGCTAGCAGACCTACCTGTATACCTACGAACGCGAAACGTAGATCTACGTTGCTTTGAAGTCTCTGTGTGTAGATCTACCATCTACTGTTGCCTGCTTTTTCTCCTGGCCATCACCAGACTGATCACCGGATGACGATACTGCAACAACAGTCTTGTGAGTGACAACTTACTACTTCCCAGAACAGTTTTGCTTTTGGCAGGCGTTCTGTCAGCAGCCGGTAGTTCGAAATGGACGCATCGGAGAGAACACCTCGTAGAAGAGATAATGACCGTCCTCGCCTTCACGTAAGTAAAGTTCATTTCATTGACCAACGTTCTCAGCGAGTGCCATTATTGTTTTGATAATTCAAAAAGTTTCATCCAACTCTCATGAGTTTGGCTCCTCTTTTTTTTCAAATCTTGGACTCTGCTGAAGTGTAATATTTTGTTATGTCAATGTGAGCCAACGTGGCTGATACGAAGATTTTGTTTATTGTGTAGTTGCGTGTCAGTTATCCGGTGCCCTCGTGACCTGACGTTGTTGGATAGATTCTGGGTGACTGAAGCTAGATAGCCATCTTCTGTTTACACTACCTTCTCTTCTTGAAAAGGACTGTAAGCCATGATTCTATGTAGAAATGAAAGGCACGCAATGGATACGAGCCACTGTAACTAGACTAGATACTACACACGCAGAAAATGCAACAACTAAGCACGAAACTGACATTGACAGAGATTCGACTTCATTTCTATATTAATAGTACTGTACATTGTATTGGCTCAACATCCGAGTTTCAAACATGATTCTAGTATTTCTACTTGTATTTTTTGATTGATAATTATGGTGGTAAAGGCACACCTGGCAATATGGCGGTAAACACACGTCTACCCACACATGCTCTCTAAGCTGCAAAGTTCTGGCACAAAGCTCTCCTTCTCACCACCACCACCATCAGTTCGCGCCTGGCGCCTCGTCGATGCATGGTTGGCGGTATCCGACATAGCAGGCTGGTACATCAAGTAGTGCATGGCACATAGAAGATGACACAGCAACGACATAGCTCGATTGCGACGCACGTTTCGTCCCCACTGGACTCATCAGGCAATCTTCTTCTTGGATGTCTTCATACACCCATAAGTACAGCTGCAGTGGTGTCTTCAACTTCATTCTCCCGAGTCAAGCTCCGTATGAAGACATCCAAGAAGAAGATTGCCTGATGAGTCCAGCGGGGACGAAACGTACGTCGCAATCAAGCTATGTCGTTACTGTGTCATCTTCTATGTGCCATGCACTACTTGATGTACCAGCCTGCTATGTCGGATACCGCCAACCATGCATCGACGAGGCGCCAGGCGCGAACTGATGGTGGTGGTGGTGAGGAGGAGAGCTCTGTGCCAGAACTTTGCAGCTTAGAGAGAGCATGTGTGGGCAGGCGTGTGTTTACCGCCATATTGCCAGGTGTGCCTTTACCACCATATTTATCAACCATAAGTACAGCTGCAGCGGTGTCTTCAACTTCATTCACCTGTATTTTTTGATACTCCTTTTAGGCTTTAGGCCTTTCTAGTTTTACTGTGAGACAACCACTGTGCTCATCTATGTAGACTGATTAGAATGTAATGTTACATAAAGGCGCCGTTCATTATGCTCACTGTCCACATTTACTTGAAGGAGGACTGTACACAGTGCACGAGCTATCAGTGTGCTGTTGGATAACCTGGTTCATTAGATATCCTTAGCTAAAAAAACGCTAACGTAAACGCAAACCTTTCCGTACTTCGGATCGTTCAAGCTGACTTTTCCCTTAGCACAAAGTACGTTATAGTTGAGACGAAGTAGTCGTGACAACCATGGCGATATGAATTTTCGTGGAAACAGATGCGGGAAATTCAAAATTTTGAACCAGGGATTAGTTTGCTGTCGTTCCGAAAGAATACCTTGGCGAGGTCCTTTACTCTGGAATGGCAAAAGCACGGCGAACATGAGTTTTCGCTGTTCCCAGGTCCTTGGAAACCCTTTCCTAAACGCAGCACCGAAGACTGTAAGGGTTCTCCAGCTCCAGCACGTCTGGGAGAGGCCGATGAATTTCTTCCTCAGGAGTGCCGTGGAACTGGTCCTTTGTTTCCCAGATGGGATAGAGGGAGAAAGGCACGAAGCAGAGGACGCAGAAATTGTCAACTGAAAGGCAAAACTCGCCAAAAAGCTAAATGTCACAAGAGGAAGCAATCTCGACTCTCGATCTCATCTCGATCTGCACGACGTGCTTTTTATCTCCCGCCAGTTACAAAACAATGCGAGTTTTTGCATTTTTTGCAGAATTTCCATAACGAACGTCGGCCCGTTATTTTGAGCTCTGTAACGTTTTTCCGTTATCCGATAACGTCTTTTGTCACGGCTGGGAGTGAGTACCGTAAAAGTTAGCGTTATCGTACTTTTGCTAAGGATGTCTATTGCACTCTACCATACGATTTTCCTTCCCCTGGCTGTAAAATCAAGGTGGGGCGCTCTGGCGGTACTTTACGGTATTATTATTATTATTATTAGGAAATTTGAGGCCACATGCCACGTAATGCTCTTTTCTCTCCGAAACTCAACACTTGCAAGCCAGATATGAAAGAAAGAAAAAATCATCAGTCACACCACCAGGACTCGAACCAGGGACCTTGCTATTCGCGAGCAATGCTCTAACCAACTGAGCTACAGTATGACTCTTATCCACAGCAAGAGTACATAACCAAGAGTGTGCAACTGCCTGCACAACCTCTATGCTGTGCTGCGACGGCAGAACTTCACATCACGTGACATGGTTCAAAAGGTTATGCTGGCAAACAGTGCAAAGTGACCACAAGAGAGTTGTACCCAAAGCTGGGCTGCGTACAACCCAGTATCTATCATGCACTAGAGTGCACGGGTTCATCACGTGATGTGAAGTTCTGCCGTCGCAGACCCCATAGCTGGAGTTGCACACTCTTGGGTTATGTACTCTTGTCCACAGTGATGGAAAATCTATCCTTCTTCGATCAATCAATATCTGGCTTGCATCATACTGGCAACTCACACCAATCAAGAGGGCCCTCGGCCATTCGCTTGATATCATGGGGAGCGCATCAAACTATGTCCACTGCGAGCAAATACAAATTGCAATTTCAAATTTGGACTTCACGGAGAATTTTTCAAAGTGTTAGGAAATTTGAGGCCACATGCCACGTAATGCTCTTTTCTCTCCGAAACTCAACACTTGCAAGCCAGATATGAAAGAAAGAAAAAATCATCAGTCACACCACCAGGACTCGAACCAGGGACCTTGCTATTCGCGAGCAATGCTCTAACCAACTGAGCTACAGTATGACTCTTATCCACAGTGATGGAAAATCTATCATTCTTCGATCAATCAATATCTGGCTTGCATCATACTGGCAACTCACACCAAAAAAATTGCAATTTGTATTTGCTCGCAGTGGACATAGTTTGATGCGCTCCCCATGATATCAAGCGAATGGCCGAGGGCCCTCTTGATTGGTGTGAGTTGCCAGTATGATGCAAGCCAGATATTGATTGATCGAAGAAGGATAGATTTTCCATCACTGTGGATAAGAGTCATACTGTAGCTCAGTTGGTTAGAGCATTGCTCGCGAATAGCAAGGTCCCTGGTTCGAGTCCTGGTGGTGTGACTGATGATTTTTTCTTTCTTTCATATCTGGCTTGCAAGTGTTGAGTTTCGGAGAGAAAAGAGCATTACGTGGCATGTGGCCTCAAATTTCCTAACACTTTGAAAAATTCTCCGTGAAGTCCAAATTTGAAATTATTATTATTATTATTATTATTGACTGTGATGATCACCTTGCATGTGGTGTGTTTTGCTGGTTCATTTATAGGCAAGTGGCTTTACGAATCTGAGAAATGTGTTGTCGGAGAACGCACAGCGCCCTAAGGTAAGCGGTCCCTTCTGACTCGGGATCCTCCTAATATGTTATCTGAACGTCAATTTTGTATTTATTCCCAATGAAGGATTGGGGCGTGTTTTAAAAGTTGCTGACGGCAAGTCTCAAATCTGGAAAAGGACTAGTGTATGGCGTGGATCAAATAGCCAGCACTTATTCCACTCTCCACGCCGAAACTAGGACTGAATGTGAGAACAATGATGAGCGGCCTAGCATGCCCCTATGCAGTATGTACATCCCATACACACATACGCACACAGAGACACACACACGCGAACACACACACGCGAACACACACACGCGAACACACACACGCGCATCCATGCACATGCATTATGTATGCATGTGCTGAATATACGTAGCCCAGTGATCAGTTCCGACCACTTCTACACGATTGGGACTGACATGTGAAGGTGACGGAATCACGGTCAAGATGACATCATCCCAAGGAATATATGTGTAGTAAAATAATGAAATGTACTTTGACCTGGGTAATTGAATTCCCGATCGTTTGCATTGTTTTCCTCTGGAATTTTTTAGAAACAACGGGCAGATAATGATGATCAAGAAGACATCCTCCAGAAAATGGCTAAGAAGAACGAGGAGATTCGGCGGAAGTACGAGATCGCTCAACGTGATCGCGAAGAAGCCGCCGCCATGGGTGCCTCGTTCGGGTCAACCGCAGGTAGCACACCCGGCTCTAGACAAAGCGTTTCCAATAGCCCTGTGTGTACACCGGGTCAGAGCACACCTGAACAACAGTCACCTGAGCAAGATACTGGCGGTGTAAAGCAGCACACGAGGACCATGTCGCAGCCATCCACTCAAACATCTAGTATGTCCTGCAGGCAAACCCAGTCGGCGGGAAAGCCTCCTCGACGTCCTCCGCCAAAAGGACGCGGAAGGGTCCGGGCACAGTCGTCCGACAAGTCTGTTGTCGGTAATGTTGGAATGTCAACAGGGGTGATGACTAGCACATGTGGACAAGTATTGATGCCTTCCACCGAACAACCGGGGCCCAAGCAGAGTGGCAGTATGGATGTGTTAGCCAAACCTGAAGCAGTGGCGTCTGCGAAGCCCAAACCAGTGAATTTGCTAAGCAGTGATGAGGAATGTTCGGCATCGCCATTGTCTGGTAGACTAGACAAGGTGAACGATAGTACTAGTAGCTCGTTGCAGAGCGCATCGTTACCATCCAGTGGGTCGCCGTCTCCCCAGGCGAGAAAGAAGCCCCCATCCAATCGTTTCGCAGGGCTTCAGGGTGCGCTGCTCGGCCTGGTAACCGAGGTACATGCCAAGAACCAGACTGGGCAACGAGATGATTCGAAACTGTTTTCTGGCCAGGTGCACGTGGAGCCTAAGCCAAGCCAGACAAGCCGCTCACCCCGATGAATATGCTAATGAAAGGCCAGATAGGAAGCCAATGAACCAGCCAGGGTGCTTCACTTTGCTCTAGTGGCCAATCTAGTGACACAAACACGCAGGGTAGACACGTCAGAAGCAACCAGGCTGCTGCTTCGCTCGAGCCAGCAGACCGCTGGAGCAGGCTCATGCCCCATCGACCTCGCAGCAACATTCAGAGTGTGCTGTCAGCCCTGGTGACGAAGACGGAAGTTCGGGCTGAGAACAAGACGGGGCATAGAGATCAAAGTGAACTGTTTTCTGCTAATGTGCAAGTGGAATCAAAGCCCAGACACTTAACACCAGGTCTGCTGAGGAAGCACTCTTGCTTGCCTTACTGTCTAAGGGATTGAGCGACCCTGATCAGTGGCCATTGATGTATATTCCTAGCTATGTGTTACTTCCCAACCTGTTTGTTGGAGCGCTGCTACCACCGATGTACTGTGGACCAATGCTGGTTATAAGAAACAGTCCGAGAACCACCTGGACAGCAATCATGAGTGGAGAAAGAAAGACCGCAGTCATCCTGATCGTAATCACCAGCCAGTGAGTGAGTCCGTGTAACCAACGTCTTCTCTGGTGTCAGTACAGAACAGAGAGCATTAATAATGGCGTTGGTTGTAACGGCCAACTGGGCCCCGCAAGTAATACGTAACGCTACGGAGCTTTGTAGTTCGTGATGCTAGTCATCGTCCGCGTGTAACACACGTGAAGGCCAATCTCCCACATCCTTGTGCAGGTGTGGCATGTACTTATTTAGAGCTGTCGTCGTCATCGCTGCTGTTCTGCAGCATGACTTGATACCGATACCTGTGCTTGAAATGAGCACATTACACCCCCCCCCCCCCCCCCCTCACTGCCATAACATAGTAACACCTGTATTAGCCAAAGGCATTGTAGTATTGATATGATGACGATGGTGCATTAGTCGTCCATGGCTCATAGTAATCCTGATGTGGGCGTAGCATGTTTAAATAGATTATTTAGAGCTGCTGCCGTTGTCATCGCTGCTGTTCTGCAGCATGAGTTGGTGCATTGCTATGCTTGACAAGAGCAACCCCTCTCCCCTCGCTGCCACCACCGTGTGCATGCATTGGCCATGGTTGTTGCCTTATTTTGATAATAATTATGCTGGTGACGAATAACACTAACAACACACCTGGCTGAATTAAATGATTCGAATCACATGGCCAGAGGACTTCTTATCCTGTGTTTGGCCAACCCTGTGCTTTCCTTTTCCAGAGTGTTGGAAAGTGAACATCATGTATTTGGCCCAGGCGCCCGACACGACCGTTGGCTCACCAATTTTCTTTATTTTGTCAGCAGCATGTTGACTTGCTGTGTATTCTGAGCTGGTCATTTGATCATTAGCATCTGAATACTATCCTGTATTGTTGCTGAGTGAGACATTTGTTGCTCTCATTTACCGATGCGACCATGGATTATTTTCTTTCTTGAGCCCATCCCCAGAGTTGGATATTTGCACTTTCCTTTGCTGAACATAGTGCTGATGCAGCTCCGAGCTGATCTATTTATACACGGCAGCACTCCCTGATTTAGAGGGGTTTTTATGCTGGTAATTTTTAGAGAACATGCTAACATAACTTTAGTTATGGCAATGGTGCTTGTACTTTCCTAGATTGCTGAACATTTTCTGTGTTTGACGTGCTTCCTTGCACTTCAAACTACCTGTTCAAATATCTAATCCCATGAATGCAATGACCTTTAGGTGCAAGGTGTGGCCATGCACAACTGTGCTGCCTGTTCCTACCTATCCAAACTACCACCAGTAGAAGGGACGTGTGTGTGTGTGTGTCGGGTGTGCACATGTGTGTCTGCTAACTTAGCCAAGTTATCCATCGTCATGTGTGGCTTCAATAAGGGTTCATCCTCACGCTCCTTCTAATCCACGGCCATGGGATTATTCACATGCACTGACAACCATGATATACGTTAGTGGCATGTCATGTAATCACTGCTTGAATTGAGAGAAATTCTTCATTGGATTCATTGTAAAAAGTTCAGAAAGTTAGTTACCTGCCTGGATACAACGTGGGTCTACTGGCTCCGCATACCCAGGTATATCATAATATGCGATAATACATGGCAGTCATGCTTTGAGTCGATCGTCAATGCTGTATACACGTGCACTGATTTGACTCTACGCGGCATTGAACAAATCTACTTCGAAGTACATGCACATGCAGGAGGTTGCATACTGCGTAGTTGTGCGCAAGTAGACAAGAACCTGCATCCAAGGGACATAATGCAAAAGAGGAAGCCTAACTACACAACTGTCCCTAACTGAGACATTCCGGCCTGTTGCTCTATAGTATACAATGCACTATGTAGACTCCTTTTGAATCTCTCTCCCCTCTCCCGGGAAGACCCATGCGACCAGTTTTGGCAGTGAGCACTGCTCAAGTACATGTACGTGTGATTGTCATGCCAGTCTGCACACACGGTATATCAAACCCCGCAGTGTGGATCTACATGGTTGCTCAGTGTAATCTTCGAAAGATGGCTATTGAACCGCCCAACAGCCGACACCCTCTGAAATCCCCAAACTCTGGGTGGGCTTGGTAATGATCTCAGAGTCACTGATGGGCTCACCACACCTCAGTAAGTTGGTGGCACTGATCACATATCCACTCCCCACCATCACCAGGGATTCACCTTGTGACTGCCATGGAATGTGTTGCTGAAAAAGACAAGACACGCTTGCATACCGTAATGTCGCGTATAAAACCAGGTGCTTACGGCCGTATAAGCCGATATCAGTGCTAGGCTTGTATTCAAGTTAGGCTTCTATTCAAACCACGTATCTCTATGTAGGTCAACACCAGGGAGTAGTACAATAATAATTATTAGTATTGTACTACTCCCTGGTCAACACTAAACCAGGCTTATGTGCTTTTTTTTTTATTATTTTTTTTATTTACTTGAAAAAGCACATAACCACCAGGAAAGCTGACAAAAGAAAAAAGAGTAAGAAAAGACAGATAAAAAGAGAGCTGAGAGAGAGTTGGGGTACGGTTAGGGGAGGACGAGACATTGAATGGTGGTCGCCACAGTCACAGATAGTAGCAGTGCTGGTGAGGCTACAGGCACTCCACTGACCATTAGGTCTCAGTATCGCCATGCCGGTAACGCACCAAAAGACAAAAACGGAAGAAAATCTGAAGCGCAATACATGAATGGTAATTACAATATAGGTAATAGGGAGAGTGGTGACCAAGAGAGGACAGTATAGACCGTTAGTATGGGGTGCTTCAATGCACATCCCCAAACCGAGAGGTGCGATCTGGAAAGAACAGTGAGACGATCAACATGATGGGCTTCAAAGCACGTCCCAAGACCATGGCTGGTCTGAAATGTGTTTGTTGACACCTTTTTTAAAAGCTGTGAGTGGAGAGTGATTGGCCAGACGGGGAAAGACGTCCTCGGGGAGGCTGTTCCACAATTCAAGGAAACAGTACGGGAAGGAACGTCGAAGGTAATCGGGACTGGTGCCGGGGGTGGTGTTTAAGAGCTGTTCCCGGTGCTGGCGCTGAACATAATGCTGCTGGCGGGTTCGAACAGTATCGGCCCGTGGTTTTGGGGGAGGGCGCATGCGTGTCAGACGGGGTGGGCCCTTGCAGTTAACTACCTTGTAGAGATAGGACAGCCCTGCGACCGTCCGTCTGGCCCGCAGACTCTGGAGGACGGTGGTGGGTCCAATCATCTGCATGGCCTTGCGCTGTGCTGTGTCCAACTTCCCAAGGTGGGTCTGGGCAGCACCAAGCCAGGCTAGTGGGGCATACTCAAGTATGGGCCTTACAAAGCCCTTATAGACGGTTAGGCGTCCAGCAGCATCCAGGATGGGGGCTGCCTTCCTCATGAAATGGAGGCGTTGATGTGCGCGCACAGAAAGCTGGTGGAGGTGGGCGCTGAAGTTGAGCTTCTCGTCGAACACCACCCCAAGGAGCTTCAACTGGCTGCTGACAGGAACAGGGGTGCCAAGGAATTGGACAGGGGGGAAGTCTAGAGGGGCCAGCTTCCTGGTCACGGACATCAGCTGTGACTTAGAGGGCTCAAAGGTAACCCTCCAAGTACTTCCCCAGGCTTCCAGCTGGTTTACGGCTGTCTGAAGTGCAGCTGCGGCGGCCTCTGTGGTCTGTCCAGGCATGACAGACGTGTATAACGTAGTATCATCAGCATACACGGCGATGGAGACGCTGGCAGGTAGCTGATCTTCGGCGTCGTTTATGTATACTAGAAACAATGTGGGCCCTAGGATGCTGCCCTGAGGGACGCCTGACCGGATGGTAGAGGGGGTAGAGGTCTGTCCCCCAACAACAGCTTGCAGCTTCCGGTTCTGGAGGTACGATGTTAACCAGGCCAGCAGTTGCCCACCAATGCCATAGCCTCGGAGCTTGCAGAGGAGCCCAGGGTGTGAAACCCGGTCAAACGCGCCTGCTATGTCTATGGCGAGGGCCTGAATGGTTCCGCCCTTACTGGTGGTTAAAGCCCATTCATGCTGGAGTGACGTTAGTAGGTCAGCTGTGCCGATTGATTTCCGAAAGCCAAACTGGTTGGCAGACAGGAGGGTATTGCTGTTGAGATGGTTGATGAGCTGCTGGTTGACTATTCTTTCCATCACCTTGGATACTACACAGAGCAAGGAGACTGGTCGATAATTACGGACATCGCCCTTGGCCTTGCGCTTGTGGATGGGAACCACATTGGCTACCTTCCAGGCTGTAGGCTGGTAACCATGGGAGAGACAAGACGAGAACAGCTGCGACAACGGCTTTGAGAGCTCAGACGCACACTCCTTTAGAACGCGGCAGGAAATGGAGTCTGGCCCGGACGCTTTGGATACTTCAAGACACCGGAGCTGCTTGAGCACTGCTGATTCCCGGAAACGGATTTGACTCAGGATGGCGTCAGTGCGTGGTGGGAAAGGCGGGAGTGTGTCTTCAGTGAGATCGTTTGGGATGCTGCACTTCTCTGCGAAGAATGATGCGAAACAGTCAGCCTTGGAGGAGGCCGTGGTACATTGCTGACCATCGGCCCCCTTTAGGACAGGAATATCAGATGTGCGGGATAGACCTCCTGCACGCTTCATGTTTGACCACCATGCTTTGTCACGTAGGTTTCCATTCGACAGCTTGTTCCGCAATGAAGATACATGAGCCTGCTGCGCTGCATGGAGCACAGTGGCAACTCTCAGGCTGGTTGCAGTGTAGGTATCAGACAATTGCAGATCAGTTGGGTGTGCACGGGTGTGTCGCCAAGCACGTTGTAAACTAATCACTCCCTCCGACGGACACACGCGACAAGCCAGAGAGTAATGGTTCACATTGTATTTTGGGAGAGCAAACAAAACTAAAACTAAAGTCGAGTGCCAAGAAGAAAGAAGGAGGAAGACCCGGTCCCAAACGAAGGACCAAGTCCAAAGGAGAAAATATGGCGGAGTATCAAAATGACCAGCACGTGTCACGCACCAGCTCCACACGCGCGACACCGGCACCACAATCACTGCATGCATGCACTGCGCTGCCTTGATACATGATCGGGCCGCAGGCGCCAGGAGAACAAAGCGCTAGCACGGACAACACTAGCGGAACTAGCTGGAACAACAGTGTTACATGCATCATGACAAGAGAACAAGATATTGCATGAAGGTCGACACACATGCACAGTTAGGTGTGATAGTTACAGGTACAGTTCCATTTCACCCCATCACCTGACGACAAGAATGCAAAAAACTCTTGGCCGTTTTAGCTGTAACGGACCGGGGGCTGGATTGCGTTTCGATCTCGCAAGCTGTAGCGATTACCATCCGGAGCGTCTGCTTGGGCTGGCATTAATTCCATGCCGAGCAGGTCTGGTTCTTCGTTAGCATCGGCTGCCGCGCCGTCATCTGCCTGACTCTCAGCGGCCGTCGTGCGCATCACAGGGTTGTCGGGTGAATCAGGCTTCAGCAGATCGACGTTCACGGTCTTTGGGTGCTGGCGCTCATCTTGTCTGGCTATGACCACAGTCGATGGCGAGACGATAGCCGCAACACTCCATCCAGGCTCATACGGGGACAGCCGCTTCTGCCTTCGTCCAGGCCGCAGTAACAGGACAGGATCACCCACAGAGTATGCGCAGGGCTCGTTCGGTGAGTCAATGAAATCCCGGGCTGAGAGCTCCGTCTCAATGATATCCCGCACACGAGCTACGCGCGACGACAACTCTGACGCCCACTGGGTCATATCGCACGCTTCCTTCACGTCGTCAATGATGATATGGCGAGGCTGCCATCCGCTCATTGCCACCATGGGTGACAAATGGGTCGAGCCGTGCGGACGATTGCGGTAATAAAACAGCAGCACATCGAGGTCAGCACGCCAATTCGGTGACTCTTCGAGGGTCTTGCGGATGAGGGTGAGGAGCGTTCGATTGAACCTCTCTGCTGTCCCTTGGGACTGGGGGTGACGGACTGCTCCGGTTCGCACACGCACACCCATCAGGCGAAACAAAGACTCCACTATGGCGTTGCGGAACTCCACGCCGTTGTCCAGCCGCACGACCTCGGGAGCACCCCATCGAAAACACATGGCCGAGAAGGCTGCAGCAACACTAACAGCGTCATGTCGGCGGAGCGGGCACACCTCCACCCACTTGGTGAAATTGTCCACACAGACGAGGACACAGCCGTATTTGCCGCTTCCATCACCGCCGAGTTCCAGCGTGTCAATCGTGACTTCGCTCCATGGGGACCCAGGTATGTCGGCGCGGGTCGGCGCAGCTCTGGCACCCTTCCGTCCACTAGCAGACTTGCATTGCGTGCAGCTATCAACATGTTGGTGACAAGCCGAAGCAATGCCAGGGAAGAAGCAACGGCTTCGGATCATGCGATACATGACCTCCCAGCTCGCATGTCCCGAGATCTGGTGTGCATTCGAGACAACATCGGCAACGAGCGATTGCGGCACGACAGGAACACGAACGAGGCCCTCGACAGGTAGCTTGATGCTTCTGACAAGGACACCATCATCAATCTCCAGTTGGGACGCCGCTGCTGCATAGGGTGCAGTAACCGTTGCACCGGACTCCAACTGCGCCACTGCTGCCAGTATCTGGTCGTCAGTACCTTGCTTCGCCACAATCTTCGCGAGAGGGATTGGTCCGGGCAGGACTACAGCTGCACCTGCGACATCACTTTCGCTGTCGCCCAGTAGCGCCTTGCAGAACTTCACCCACGTAGGAGGAACTCGAGTCAGCACGTCTGCACGATTTTGGTCAGTCGGCACCCACTCGATCGTGACAACGAGCCCTGCCGTGGCAATCAGGTCGGCGAGAATCTGGAGTCGACGCTGGACTAGTACACCGTGCAGTCCTTTCGCCCTCGTCCGGCGCACGTCGCCAGTGACGTCTCTGAGCCAACTCGCAACCGTCTTGGAGTCGGTCATCAACCGCACATGTTTCATCTCCCAGCTCACGGCCAGCGAAAGACCTCGGATAGCGGCCTCCAGCTCCATGATATTGATGTGACGCGCGTCACCGTGGGGTCTCAGCCAAGAACGATCCTCCATGACAGCGCCATCGATCTCCAGGACGACGCCAAGACCGATGTTGGACGCGTCAGCCCAAACTACGCAGCGACGAGGCTCGGGAGAGTTGGCACGCCATTGGCCCTGTGCAGGATCACCATCACCAGCTAGCCGCGCGTCCACTTCACCACACAGCTTCAAGAGTGAGGCTGGGACCTGTTCATCCCATGCAGCGCTAGCGTTGGCCATGCGCTTCAAGTAGCTGCATGCGGGTCTCAGCCAACCACAGACAGGCACGTGCCCCGTCAGGCGACCACACCAGCTGAAGATATCGCGCTTGGTCGCCGGCTGCTCGAGCTTCAGGCGAATGTCGGTACGGCGCGACCACTGCACTTGGCCATCGTCGCCTTTCGTCAACTGAAGGCCCAACACACGGGACTCAGCAAACGCCTCTGCAGGCTTCGTTGGCAAACTGTACTCAGCCATGTGGGCGGCCACTGCGTCAGCCTCGGCAGCGGGAGTCATCAGGTCGTCGACGTAGTTGTCGACAGCAGGAAACTCTCTAGTGACCCACCGGACGATGATATCCATGAACTTGGGCGCTACGTTGAGGCCGAAGCCCATCCGCGTCATCACAAACGCTTGGCCCTGCCAGACCACCATCTGAAAACGTTGCAGCTCGGGTGCAACGTGCACCTGGAGATAGGCCTTCTTGATATCGAGTAGTTGAAACTCCCGAGGGTCACCGGCCAGTCGCCATTTGCGCAGCGTCTCCTCACAGACGGGTGCTGAGCGGCCAGGCTGCGACATCAGCAGCTGGTTGAGGAGCCGATAATCTAGACATGGTCTAACCGGCGTTGATGCTTTGTGCTCCTGCAACTGAGCAATCAGCGGTAACACAGCACCAGGGCTTCCGTGAACATCCTTGTCGTGAGGAACGAGCCAACCCGCATCGATCCATTTCTGCACCTCCTCTGCAAACAGCTGCTCCTGGTCAGAAGTGAGCTTAGAGCGAGAGTACTCACTCACGCCAGGTCCCACCGGCTGAGTCGGAGGACTGCCTGATTTCCAGCGCCAAGAGAGGACCCACCGACGGGCGCTGCTGTCCCAGGTGACATCCCCGTCATCCGTGGACAGGGTGACATCATCACCATCACGCTGCACGCGTACATTGGGAAATGGATGGCGATCGCCGCTCGAAGACGCACCACAGACTCCCATGCTGTCCCCTGGATCGACTCGGTCGTAGCCAAATTCCACGCCGATCAAGGCACCATCACCGGAGTACTTCAGTCGAAGCCCGCCACTGCCAATGACCACATCATTGCCGACGAGCACATCAGCGTTGACCACGCTCAGATTGTCGACCACATACGCTTGCACTTCCAGGCCGGGCAGAGAGACCGCACCGTCAGAACGGGCCAACCGAACGGCAGCTGACCCCACTAGCTCTAGGGGACTACCATCCAAGGCAAGTATGGGTGGAGCAGCCGTGGGTGAAAGACTGATGCCATGCTGAGTGGCGAAGGACCGCGAGATGAGCGTACGAGTTGAACCGGTGTCTACGACAGCCCGCGCACGAACACTCGATTTCGCCGCTCCAGCAGACACATCCACGTACATACGAGGCAGCTTTCCAGGAGAGGCCAGGGAGACTAGGCATGGGTCGTTCTCCTGCACAGCTGGTTGTGGGCGAGCACTTTCCACGGCAGCTGCAGTCCTGTCCTTCCTTGCCAGCCAATCTCTCCTCTCAGGGCAGTCAGCCTTTACATGGCCAGCACCGTCGCAGAACAAACAGGTAATCGGCTGGCTCCTTCCACCTCCGCCTGCTCTTCTGCTGGGACAATTCCTGCGGATGTGCCCAGGCTCGCCACACTTGAAACAGAGGCCCGAGGGCTTCGCGCTAGATCCAGCCTGTGAGTGTGACTTGGTACTGGTAGGACCACTCCTGGTCGCTGCACCACCCGACGAGGCGGCAGCTGACACACTGTCACCTCCGCTGGCATCTGAAATTCTCAGAGCTCGAACGATAGACACACAGTCGCTTATCGACATGTCCTTTCCCACGAGACTGAGCCGTACTTGCCGGTTGTAGTCGGCAGGGAGGCCTTTCAACAACTGCTGCACTACCACAGGATCTTTGTCGTCTGTCACTTTGTGACCGGATAACTCCGCGAGGCGCTTCAGATCTGCAACAAATGCATCGGTGGACTCGTCGCACTTCATTTTCCGCACCACAAACGCCTCGTAGATCTACGCAGCAGACTTCGTCATACTGAAGGACGATAGCATCAATTTGACCACCTCGTCCTGCTTCTTTCGGTCCGCATCCGCCATTCCCTGAAATACCAGGAACGCGTCATCCGCAAGAAACAGAGGGAAATGCTTCATGCGCTTAGCCTCATCATCCCAGCCCTGGATCTCCGCAAGAACGAGGAACTTTGCCCAAAACTGTTGCCAGCTCTCATTGCTCTTGCCCCGAAAGGGCTTGACAAAACCGTCGACTTTCAGACTCGACATCCTGAACTCCGCAGTCGCAACTCACGACGGCCCTAGTTCAATCCCGGGTTTCGGCACCACGTTGTAAACTAATCACTCCCTCCGACGGACACACGCGACAAGCCAGAGAGCCAGAGAGTAATGGTTCACATTGTATTTTGGGAGAGCAACAAAACTAAGACTAAAGTCGAGTGCAAAGAAGAAAGAAGGAGGAAGACCCGGTCCCAAACGAAGGACCAAGTCCAAAGGAGAAAATATGGCGGAGTATCAAAATGACCAGCACGTGTCACGCACCAGCTCCACACGCGCGACACCGGCACCACAATCACTGCATGCATGCACTGCGCTGCCTTGATACATGATCGGGCCGCAGGCGCCAGGAGAACAAAGCGCTAGCACGGACAACACTAGCGGAACTAGCTGGAACAACAGTGTTACATGCATCATGACAAGAGAACAAGATATTGCATGAAGGTCGACACACATGCACAGTTAGGTGTGATAGTTACAGGTACAGTTCCATTTCAACGGTTTCTTGCAGACACAGCTGTACTACATTCAGGAGTCCACCAAACAGGGTCACACGTTCTGACTGACAGATGCTTCGATGGGATGAAGCGATCCATGCCCTCCTGGATGCGGGAAGTAAGTTGTACGCATGCGTGTTCTGGGTGGTGGCTAAGAATGTGCTGCCAGTCTGTCTGACGAATAAAATGACGCATGCGGCCCCAGTCAGCCTGGTTGTAGCGCCAGACGCGGCGTCGAGACACGGGCTCAGTACGGAGCGTGACTGGGCTGAACTCAGCAAGAATCACACAGTGGTCTGACTTGCCCAGGGGTGGAAATGCCTGTACTGTGACGGGGTGTGGCAAGTTTGACAGGATGAGGTCAAGAGTGTTCTTTCCTCTTGTTGGCTGATCAACATGTTGGATCAGTCCGTGCGTCGCACATATTTCTTCCAGGCGTTGCCCAGCAGTGGTGGTCTTGGTGCTACCAAGCCACTCAGTGCTGTGGACGTTGAGGTCGCCAGCCAGGATGACTTGGGCGGAGGGTGGAACGGCATCCAGGCAGTGGTCTAGGTGCTCCAGTAGGGAGACGTCAGAGTCGCCACTCGAGCCAGAACGATACACAGCTCCCAAGGTGATATCGCTGCCAGACTGGGACTGGATGGTGCACCATAGAACTGCGTTCTTAGAGTCCACAGGAGTGGCATGGAGGTCGATCTGTGCAACTGCGAGAGTAGACTTGCACCATATGGCAACGCCTCCACCCTGAGCAGTGCAGTCCATCCTCAGGGGCTCTCCGTAACCTGGAATGGTAGACTCTGAGGCGGTACACTTATCTGGAGTGAACTTAGTCTCTGTTACTATCGCAACATCAGGTTTATGTGCGTTCAGGGCATGCTGAAAGTCACCAAATTTGCTGAGTAGCCCAAATGCATTTGTTAAAAAGACTCGCATTAAGTAGACACTTGCGCAGCACACTGTGTTGTTTCCTGGTCTTCAGTGTTGGACATGCCGTCACCCGAGGTTGTCTCACTCTCTGCACCGTCTGGCCTCTTGCTGTCCGGGAGGGCTGGTGGCGAGGACCGTTCATAAGAGCGAGATTTTCCAACAGCCGGTGTCAGTGGAGGTGGCTGGTGTCGCACCCCATTGGCAGCATCCTGGCCAGCTGACTGGGTGGCTGCCTGCAGAACTGACATGGTCCGCTCTGCATTGTCAGCATCCTGGCCAGCTGACTGGGTGCTCGACTCCGATACACTGGGACCCACCGCGTTGTGCGCAGAGGAGTGCTTACGGCCAGCGTCAAACTTCCATGGCCTGCAGTACAGTGGCCGGGGCCAGAATTCCGGGTCAGTCAGGAGATTCACAAGAGATGCATCCACGGCTACTCGTGCTGACACCCGGCCATGTGGAGAGGTATACATACTGCACGTGAGCACTGAGATGGACTGTGGCTCGGGAAGAGCAGCTGCTGTGACTTGAATGTATTCTTTCAGACTGGATTCGGTGCAGGATGTGCTCAGGTTACCAATGTACACCACGGCACGCTTTGTCTGTGGTGGCTCTGCTGCAACTAGCTTCCATGCGTCACTGTGGTTCCGGGGTGTGGTCCGCCGCCGCAAAACTCGTTTGGACACGACCTCCCGGAAACCGTCACTGTCGCATTCAGGAGTACTCAAATTGCTGCTTGTCTCTGCATCAGCAGGAGCGTTCGGGGCGTCAGGCTCCATGTCGACAACTTGCTCGGCATCAGCAGATGTAGCACTGTGCATGTGGTCATTTTGATTTTTTTCATGTTTTTTGATTTTTTTTGATTTTTTCGAGTTTTCCTTGGCCTTGTTGGTCCCAATCGGATGCCTGACGTCTTGAGTAATCTGGGCCAGTTTGCGGACACCAAGCAGTTCGTCTTTCAGATGGCAAATGCTGTCAGTAAGGTCGCTTATCCGAGAGAGCAAGCGGGCCTCCCTGCCTTTGCTCTCCTCAACCTCAGCACGCAGCGCGTCCACAAGAAACTGGAGTTTGTCGTCCATGGCGGAGAGGAGCTCATTACTTCGGGTACTGCTGCCCTGACCACCTGTGCCCCCTGAAGGCACGACTGAATCTTGTTCGCCGTCCGGCATGGCTGTATGCCGCCTGGGCAAACAAGGACCTTCGGGAGACAAAAATACTCAACTTTTCGAAAAATTCAAAAAGTACCGTGCGAGTGATTTCAACCCTGCCGAAAGGCCTGTTGCTAGTCTCTAACTACTACCTAATTAACTACCTACCAGTAACTGCCCCTCTCCAGACCGGCCTGCTGCCGGCTGGCTACACAAACCTGCGAAAGCTACGGAGCTCGAAAAAAGGATACTCTCTCTCTTCGCACATTCAAAAGGCTGACAGTGTATCTTAAAAATCAGGCTTGTATTCAAACTGGCTATGCTTTTATACAAGACAGGCTTTTCAATGATACAAGACACTACAGTATTATGATCCAACCCTTGCTAGCTTTGAACAGTCACCATGGTCTTAGTGTGTAATATTATTGTGTACCAGCATACCTTCCAACTACATCATAATGGTAAGGTATACAGTACTACACATGCACCGTGACTCAGTGTTGAATCTCGTCAATATGCCCATGATGATATGGATCCGGATTCTGAGATCCGTTGCCAAGACCGAACAAGATCAACTGAGCAGCTAGTGTGCCGTTGCGTATAACCTGATAAGCGTCGTTACACGTGTGCCCAGCTGGGGGGCAGCTCAGTACAACATCAATCATATGACGGGTTGATCCAGAACCGTTGAAATCGTCGGAACTAAATCATGGAGTACTGAACACTGACTAGCCAGCAACAACAACATGACACACTCATCATGCACATGTATACATGTAATGTACTCACTGACTTCCTCAAGTAACTATTACTTAGGTCCACACAGTCTTCTTGGCATTTGCACCATGTGCACTGGGTCTGGAAGTAATGATGTTGCACGGTTTGGCATACATTACCGGTAACATCATGGTCCTTGCCCTTGCCCTTGGTCCTGGACTTGGTCAGTTGCCCGGTGCATGCAGCATGGTCTCTGCCATTGAAGTGCCAGTGCCACCGAGCTGAGTGGTTGCCACGGGATATGGACATCCATAGAAACGGGCGTTGGCAGGCAAAGATCTGAGGGGAGACTTGAACACTCCGAACAGGTGGACCATGTCCGTGGAGTGGTAAACAGGTCACAGTGGTAGCAGGCGGAGAAGGCAGTGCACGGCTTCATGCTGTTGGCTGACATCCAAGACCAAAGAAACCAGAAAACGGCTTGCACACTTTCTCCGGACAGCGGGTACCCAGTGTTCAGTTTGCATGGCGGCAGAGCTTCATATCTGGTATTAGCAGGAGAGAACCGCTGGTTTCTCCTCTGGAAGAACTAGCAGTTGAAAGGCTTGTCTGCGTGCGCTGACACACATCATATCCACAGCACGGCTCTGGCCTAGCCGACGCTTCGCAGTCAGGAACAAGGCAGAATGGGGTCGACGGTGTCGGCCCGTGCGGAGTATAACGAAGATGGGTATCTGGACTATTCGCCGCGAAACCAAGCCTTGCTCGAGGACATGGCAAAGTTTGTTCAGGAAATGAACGAGAAGAATCCACGTGAATCCACCGTAATCTTCGACCGGAACTTCCAGTGGTGTACCAGCTTGAGGGCGGACGATTTTGCAAAGTTGCCCAAGAGCGAAGACCTTTTTGTCATACAGTAAGTTTGGTTGCTTCTACAAATTCTCCCTGGCTCTCTCTCTCTCCATGCTGGGTCAGTACTGTGTCGTTCGGGACCAGTAGCTAGGCGTGGTAGCGTCCTACTGCATGTTGAGACCACACAGAGGTGAACTCCGGCCTACGAGGACTCAGTTACCTAGCTCAGAGTTCGGTGACAAAGTGATGCAAACCATCGCCGCCTGGGTATGAATGGAGTTTTGTGGACTGATGGTTGAGCAACAGCCAGGGCTGCACTGCTGTTGAAACTTGAACAAGTGGGTGATATCTGGGGCTTTATCCTGGGTCAACAAGCCGGGCACATGTAAATGCAATGCACATACATGTATGGACTCGGATGGAGAGCCAAGGATAAATTTATAGTAAAGAAAAAGGACCAAGAAACTACAAGTTACGCTTTGAGCTGATTGTTTAGTAACTGGTGGTGTTAGTGGACAATATAACGTAACTTGTAGTTTCTTGGTCCATTTTTCTTCACATACCCAGGGTATATTCTAGGACGAATTTCCAACCGGTTACGGTACAATGAAGAGTCGGGGGGTCCCCCTCCGGAAATAGTTTTCAAAATACAACCCAAATATGGCACTCGACAGCAATTTAACAGATTTCTTGGTGCTGGAGTGTCGCGCGGAGCTGTTGGACTGTAGCAACGCCGTTGCTACAGCTCGATGACGTGGCTCGACCGTACAAACCGTACAAACTCGTGACCCTAGTACCAGCCCACGCGGCTTCGCTGGAAGTATCCATCCAGAAAAAAGCGTATGACCATTCACAGCTCCATTCACCCACAGAAAAGTACGGGCGGTTGGAACTGATTTGTAACTTTTCAACCGGTCGCCAACTATTTCAACCGGTCGAAAACCGGTTGGGGCGGTTCTAGAAAATTCCCTGATACCTGTAGTCATAATTTAATGTGTAGGCTAATGTGATACTGTGCTGTCAATACTTTGTGCATGTGTAACTTTATGTGTGGTGTGGTGCGTGTGTGTGTGTGTGTGTGTGTGTGTGTGTGTGTGTGTGTGTGTGTGTGTGTGTGTGTGGTGTGTCCATGTGTATGCTGCACGCGTGCATGTGCATGTGTTTCATATGCTACACTGTGCGGCAGGGATGGAAACGTATCATCGGTGGCTAAAACGAGAAGTGGCGACCCGTGCCTTGTCCTTTCCAAGGTGGAGAAGCTTACGGGAACGTATAATGTGCATGGTTTCTTGAAGCGGTTTGGCGAGGACGACAATGAAGTGGGTGACATGCGTTCCTGGCGTTGGGTTGGGTTCCAGAGCCGTTGTGTTGCGTTCTGAAAGCAGCGGCTTCCGTGAGAAGCGATCCGCGTTGGGTTTGACCTAGTCACACTGCGGTGTTTATAGCTAGCTGAGCCAAGCTAAGGCTGCAACAATGGCCCGGGTTGACTTCAACATAATTACTAGTAGTACAATGTAGTACTATGCTATGCTGTTATGCACACTCCAGGGCAGACCTAGGAAATTTGATAGTAGACGGTATTTAGGAGCGTTGGAAGGTATAGTTTAGAGTGGTACGGTCATCCACCTGAAGTACAAATTTCTCGTGGGGTTGGGGTGGCCTCTCTGAAAGAATTCAAAATTTAGAGCCCAAATCAGTGCTTTTCATTGATTCACGGGGTATCTGGGACAAGGAATGGTACGGTCGATACCGTAGTGACCGTAGCGTGTCCGACACCCCTGTGTCCTGACATTCCAAGTAAAAAACGTATCATGATTCATGATATCGTGCAAGTTATTTTCTAAAGTGACCGGCAACTGCCGTATGGAGTACAACCGTTCGGGGGGGGGGGGGGGGGGGGGGGGGCAGGGAAGGAGCTTTCCACCAATGACTGAGTTCTGTCAAAGTAACATCCTTCTATAAAGACTCAAAAGAGTGAGTATGCTCCGAGACCCCTATTGCCGTATTCCCTTGTGGCAATGCTCAAAGCATCAGTGATCTGTGCTTTGCAGCACACACTAGTACTACATACATGTACTATTATAGTAGTGAGGAGGTGGGGTACTGCAAACCCGGAATCGTTGGCGCCCGTTTTAGTTCGTGAATTGCCATGACAGACCACTTTGCGCCTGCAAACGTTTGTGGTTGGAGTCAATTGGATGATTGAGTCTAGTCTACGGTTTCACGTTTCGTGCCCACTTACTTTCGCGATTTCACACCCATCGCGAACATTGCAGGATCACAACTGTTTCTGGGTTTACAGTAAACAAAGTTGATGTTGATCGTGGCCGCGTGGCGCTGTTGGTGGCATGATCACGTGAGCAGTACATATTAGCATACAGATACGCATTACCGAGCTAGTGCATCAGGTGCAAAAAGAGGCTCCCCCATTTGGGCACCCCGAGCCCCCCCCCCCCCCCACGGGGGGGGGGGGGGGCTCTCTGACAATGCAAGCTACCACATGCAGCGGTACTCCACAAATACATGCAAGTACCGAATGAATACATGTATGCTCTGGCACTCGTACTCACACTATTCTAAGCAGAGGTTTGTATTTCCATCCCTGTGTGCTTGGCAGCTTGGACAAATCTTTGAAATTCGCTGCTGGACGTTCGAGGGCTTCAAGCATATCTTGGATGCCTCAGCTACCCATAAGGAAGCGGAAATAAAGCTTTGCCTTGAAGGTGAGAGACTGAAGGAGATTGACACATCCACATGTTCAACACAATACCAATGTTCATTGGGAATACAGCGCACCTGATGGAAGCTTGGGAGCGGTCGAGCATTCTCACACTTTCCCCGGGTACTACTAAGTAGTGTGTTACCCCCCCCCCCCTCCCTTAGAGGCAAACTGCCACTTCCAGTTAGTACATGTTTGTATGGTGTGTAACCCCTATCCCCACCCTTTGGAGGCAAAATGCCACTTCCAGTCTGTAGGTTGGATTTCAGGCCCATTTTCTGACATAATATGTGTGGCTTCTATACCCCGTAAGATATGCTACCTTGCGAAACACTGAGTTTAATTTCCACGTGTTTGTTGCACTGCTCGTGGCTAACTAGCAAACACTGAGCCGTTGACTTCCATCATGGGCCCGGGCCATGTCAACATGGGGGTTGGCACATCTATGCTTGACACTCACGAACGCCTGTTGCGAGAACGAGCACGCTCCTCGAATGACCCGGCAGTGGAGGAGCTGGACAACAAGTTCCGACTGTGCCTTCTCCTGAACACCATGGACGTCAAGTTGCTCAAGAACACCGTTCATGACATGAGGAAGTAAGTCTGATCTGGTTGGTTGTGTTTCCGGTAGTGCACTGGTCAGCTACTGTTGCCGTGATTCTCCCCCCCCCTTCTCTCTCTCCCTCTGTCTGGTCTCTCTCTCTCTCTCTGTTTCCCTCTCTGTCTGCTTGGCCATCTGTCCGTCTGTCTGTCTGTCTGTCTGTCTGTCTGTCTGTCTGTCTGTCTGTCTGTCTGTCTGTCTGTCTGTCTGTCTGTGTGACTGTCTGTCTGTCTGTCTGTCTGTCTGGCTGTCTGTCTGTCTGTCAGTATGTCTGTCTCTGTTCTTGTTCTGCCTGTCTCTCTGCATGTCTCTGTCTCTCTGTCTCTCTGTCTCTCTGTCTCTCTCTGTCTCTCTGTCTCTGTCTCTCTGTCTCTCTCTCTCTCTCTCTCTGTCTCTCTCTCTCTCTCTCTCTCTCTCTCTCTCTCTCTCTCTCTCTCTCTCTTTCTCTCTCTCTCTCTCTCTCTCTCTCTCTCTCTCTCTCAGGCTCTCTCTCTCTCTCTCTCTCTCTCTCTCTCTCTCTCTCTCTTTGCCTGTCTATCTCTGTCTCCCTTTTATTGGCTAGCCTGTGACACATAACCAACAAAACAGACTACGTTTGTGAACCAGTGATAAAAGAAATTAGTTGAAAGTGACGTGCTCTTCCACTAGACAAGTACAGTTGTTGTCACTTTAGGACATGTTCCGGCTGTGTGGGTGTGCATGTGCGCATTGAATTTTGTGCGTGGTTTGTGTTGTCTACTTTCAGGATAACACGGATCACTCCAGAGTTAGTGGATGTAAGTACTGTCTGCTCCCTAACCCCTGCTACCCCCCCCCCCCCCCCCACACACACACACACTCCCACCACCACCATCCAAGTACCATTATCCTATCATCATACCTTACATCAATATGATACTATTTGCCTCCTGATCTCGCTTATGGAGCAGGTAACATGAATGCTGATACAATCATGGTAGCAGACAGGTAAAATGGGCCCTTGATTAACTGAACACTAGGCTGATGCAGCATATGCAAGACAGTATGGGTACTTTGGCTTGTTTGATTGTGTACAGCGTGAATTGGAGGTGATAAGAATGTATGCTGGCACGGGTCAATCCACATCCAGCCTAGCGGACATCAGCTACTCATCAGGTATGTATACATGTACACGTAGTCACGTACTAATATATAAATGCCCACACCTTAGTGTTACAGCATCAGGGCCGGCGCCACTGGTATGGCCATGGCTGTGCCAGTTTTTACCAATTCCAGTGTTCATGGAATGTCCAGCGTGAGATTATTTACGTGGACGTGCTAAGCCTAATAGCTATACTCGTACACCCCCGGCTAGAGTCTCTCCCTCCTAGAATGTTCTTCCTGTCCAGCGAGGACCACTGTGCTGTCTATATCTCGGTTGCTAGCAGAATATGTAGACAAAACAACCAGATGCGATGTAGAATAGAGCTAGTGGTTGATCGTCCCATGATACTGAAATTGGGCATAGGGCAATGATCGGCCCGGGCTGTACCACCTTTCAGGAGTTGGCTCTGGGACTGAGCATACACTAAGTTGTAGTTGTTTGCGTGTGCGTTGAACATGTTCTTGTGGCATAATGGCTTGAGACTGTGCAGAGCACATGTGTATGCATGTTTGATGCAAGGTATTCATTGTGATGTGCAACACCCTGCCCGACCACATGCGGCTGACGATGAGCACAAATACATGTACATGTACAGTAAAACCTGTCTAGGCGACCCTCTCGGATAAGGCGACCACCTGTCCCAGAAGACCACTGCAACCAGGACCAAGGGATGCTATTTCCAGTCAAATGACCCTGGATAAGGAGACCACCTGGTATCAGAGACCACATTTTGAAGGTCCCTTGAGCGGTCATCTTAGACAGGTTTCACTGTATCAATGAACATTTCAGGTGCTAGGCTGGTATTGTATGTACAGGGTATTCCCCGGTGTAGTCCCTGGTTCATGCTAGGCTGGTATTGCATGTACAGGGGATTCCCCGGTGTAGTCCCTGGTTCATGCTAGGCTGGTATTGCATGTACAGGGGATTCCCCGGTGTAGTCCCTGGTTCATGCTAGGCTGGTATTGTATGTACAGGGGATTCCCCGGTGTAGTCCCTGGTTCATGCTAGGCTGGTACTGTATGTACAGTGGATTCCCCGGTGTAGTCCCTGGTTCATGCTAGGCTGGTATTGTATGTACAGGGGATTCCCCGGTGTAGTCCCTGGTTCATGCTAGGCTGGTACTGTATGTACAGGGGATCCCCCGGTGTAGTCCCTGGTTCATGCTAGGCTGGTATTGTATGTACAGTGGATTCCCCGGTGTAGTCCCTGGTTCATGCTAGGCTGGTATTGTATGTACAGGGGATTCCCCGGTGTAGTCCCTGGTTCATGCTAGGCTGGTACTGTATGTACAGTGGATTCCCCGGTGTAGTCCCTGGTTCATGCTAGGCTGGTATTGTATGTACAGGGGATTCCCCGGTGTAGTACCTGGTTCATGCTAGGCTGGTATTGCATGTACAGGGGATTCCCCGGTGTAGTCCCTGGTTCATGCTAGGCTGGTATTGCATGTACAGGGGATTCCCTGGTGTAGTCCCTGGTTCATGCTAGGCTGGTATTGTATGTACAGGGGAGTCCCCTGTGTAGTCCCTGGTTCAGTGATTCATGTGGTGTTGACTATTCCACGTCCTGTTGTGTCAGAACTCATGTTTGCGAACGGGACTCGAGCATCTATTCGGCGTCAGCCCAAAGGCGATCTCTGCTTCATTACCGTGAAGCCACACGATGGTGCTGAGTTCTCCATTGGTTGCAACTCTGCAGGCTACTATGTTGCCAAGGTAACGTAACCATGGTTGTTAGATGTACATGTAAATGGAGTAGCACCATACTAAGTCTACAAATTTTTGGCCCATTCAAATTTCGGCCTCCCAGGGCTAAAACAACATTTCGGCCGCAACAAATTTGCGGCCAAATATGATCAGGCCGAAAATAGCCGAAAATAAATATGCATCGAATATTAAATTTTGTCGACTTACAGTAGGCAGTAACCTTATTTTTAGTTACAACCTGTCATAAAAGTATCACTCGTGACATGCAAATACTTTGTGCCATTCACTGGCTTTCTCCTTTGGTGCATGCCAAGGGAAATGGGGGGGGGGGGGGGGGGGGGGAGGAGATGGGGTTCAGGAGGGGAGGAAGGCCCTTCCTCCCCTCCTGAATCCTGGCTCCATTAAAGACAGACTCGGCTTTCAAACATAGCAGGATTGATGTTGATAGTTTTTAATTTGTTTTCCAATCCTGATTCTGCATAGGATCCCTCTCCGAATGGCGAACCACCGCCGGAAGAAGATATGGTCCAGGACCTTCGCAAGCTGTTGAAGAAGCAAAGCGCACATTTCTCGCAGACTTTCGGCAAGGAGGTAAGGTGACAATGGTGACTGCCGGAGCGGCAGCTGAAGAGCATGATGTGCTAATGCTAAGGCGTTTCTATACGGCATTTCAACGTGACAGTATTAAAAAAAATGCCTGTCCTGTGTGCATCTTGGTATATTCTCCCTACCAACTAAACCTTTGATACCACACAGGACTACAAACAGGGGAAGTACAACGACACGGTGCTGGATCGTAGCAGGATGAAGCAGACAGGTGTCGACGGTAAACTTCCAAGCATTCGCAAGCTGTAAGTTGTACGGCGGCACATGTGATGCATCACATGCAGCATGGGTAACAAACACCGTATACATATACCGTATTCTCCGGACTATAAACACAACTAATTCCCCCCCCCCCCCCCCGTAAAAAGTCAGTGCGGCGTATAACGTTACCGCGATGGTCAAATTCATGGTGATAAACCGGGCGAACGTGACACGCCTGTATTTCGTGACAAAAATCTGGGTGTGGGTCATACTCCGGAAAATACGGTACTAGCCTAGTACATGTAGTGCATGCATTGCCCTAACTTTGTATACTGATGGTGGAGGTTTCGACAAAGAGCAACACATCCAGCTGGCATCAGGGTTCATTGACCACAATGCAGTGAACAGCACGCAGTGAACAAATAGTGAAGCAGGGAGAAAACAGTGGTACTGATCTCTATTGTAGTCAGTGGACTAATAGCAGCATCATTGTGTACATGCAAGCACCGCAAGAAAGAGAGGCTGGCATACGTGTAGCACACGCACAGCCTGAGATAGTGCTGACTCACTAGAGGGGTGAGGTTAGGGGGTGGGGGAAGGAGGGGGTGAGGGTGAGGGAGAGGGGGGGGGGGGGGGTGGTGATTGCAAGAAGGATGGGGGAGTAGGGGGTGGGGAGGGGGTCTTACGATGTTGATTGGTGTGGTTCAAGTTATTCCCGGGTGGTCATACTAATGCTTAGTTTAATGCTTGTACATGTATGACAAAGAGCTAATTTTGTGATATGCTCTATATGTGCATGTGCATGTTGGTTTCACGGAATGTCTTCTTCCTTCTGATGTTCTGATGGTGTCGCGCGTGACTACTTCACCATCCTCAGTATGATGCATCGTCTTATGATGAAAACCGTCCATAATATCGAGTTGTAAGATGTGTGTTGGGTTCACCATGCACGCTACACGTCACAGTGCTGTGCAGTTGCTGATAACGTCAGTACCCCATGATATGCACTCACTGGTCACGTGCTTGGCTTTACCATACTTGTTGGACCTCCTACGTAATCGGTACTGACCACTCTTCTTTTAGTGCGGTGTCTCCCATAGTAAGCCGTTGGCCTTCTCACCTGAGCCCACTGTAGTCACCATGGTTACTGCTGTGCAGTAGTACTGTAGACCGTAATTTTAGCGACGTAAAAACCCTAGCGAATTTAGCGATCGACTCATTTTCGCTAAAGTTTCAAGTCGCTAATCCGTTGAGACATTAGTAGTGCACTGGTGATCCGTGAGTAAAATCGCTGCAAATCGCTAAAATAAAACGTCGCTAACCGGTTGACAATGGGAAAACGCTAAAATTAATAGTCGCTAAAACAAATGCTAGAACTAATAGCTGAAGTGTGTGTGTGTGTGTGTGTGTGTGTGTGTGTGTGTGTGTGTGTGTGTGTGTGTGTGTGTGTGTGTGTGTGTGTGTGTGCATGGGCGCAGTGTACTAGTTGCTTATATTCTAATAATGTACTTTGAGAACTATGTACATTTGTGATGGGTGTTTAACTCTCAATTTAGAAAAGAGTTTTGTTGTAAATGTATCTGGTATCTGGCCACGCACCAGTCTACATAATAAGTTACAAGTACACTGGCTGTGAGTCACTATGCAGTCCTCAAATTTGTTAC